ATAATTGTTCCAAGTAGTGAAGCATCATGAACTATTGTTGAGTGAGATTATAAATACAAAGAATGAATTTAAATGGGAACTTTTCATCTTTTACCAGTGATAGAGTCCTATTAGGGCTGGATCAGCCGATATGCTAAATAAGCCAGGAAGAGCTGGTCACAAATAAATAGAAATATAAAAATTTATCATTTATACTCTTGAGGAAAAAAAATCAATAATAAATAAAATAATTACTCAATGCATTTAACACAGAAATAAAAATTAAAAATACTATTTTATGATCAGTTCTAGATCAGCCAATAAAACCAGAGACATCAAAAATTTAAGGTGTCGCTGAGTAGTAGTCCATTTGTAAGGAAAAAAACTTTTTTTGTTTGATTGTTGATTTCCAGATAAAAATCTGATTATAAGACCAAACAAGACATAAAAAAGACAAAAAACCCCAAGAGGTTCTGATACTTATGTTGCAAAGGATATCAAGGGATGTTGAAAAGTGTCAGTAAAAACAAAAGTCAACAAAGAAAAGATTGCAATAGACATAGAAAGAGATCTGACTATGAAACCTAGAAATACATAAAAAGCCAAATTGACTCAAATCTATTTAAATATAGTTTTGATAGTTATGTTGTAAATATTATGGGATGTGGCATGACAACAAAGAAAAGAAAGCATAAGATATAGAAAGAGATCTAACTATATAACCAGGCAATACATAAAAAGCCAAATTCACTCAAATATATTTAAATTCTGATAGTTATGTCGTAAATGATATCATGAGGTGTTTTACAATGACATCAAAAAAGAAATGAAAGCAAAAGATATAGAAGGAGACTTGACTATGAAACCTAGAAATTCATAAAAAGCCAAATTGACTCAAGTGTATTTAAATATAGTTCTGATAGTTATATTGTAAATGATATTATGGGGTGTTGCACAATGACAACACAAACAAAACAGGAAAGATATGAAAGCAAAAGAATGGAGAGAGAACAATGGATGGACTGCATTTAATTAGAAATATCAATATGTATCTGTACAACACTGACTTAAGAATATAGATGAGTAACAAAGATTTCAAAGTATAAGAGGAAGAATGAGGATATAAAAACAAAGAGTGAGAAAAGGACAAAGGTATATGGTAATAACTTTGGTTGTCAATACTCATGTAATTTCTACAGGTTCAGTATGTAGAGATATTAATAAGAAAGGCAAATTCTCTCCTATTAAAATCAATGTTTGATAACCATTACATAAACTCTGGGACAAATTTGTTTTTCCTACATGTTATAAAGAGAATTATCTGCTGCATGATCAAAAAATATCAACAAAAATTCTAAAAAAGGGAAAAAGGTAATAGTTCTGTAAAAGAACAGACCAATATGCAAATTAGAAATTGGAAACACCAAAATCCAGCAAGTACAAAAATTTAAATATCTAAGAAGTGCTTTAGCTGAGGATAGAAAATGCAACACCAAAATCTGAAGGCACATTGGGATAGTGAAAGACGCTTTCCAAAAGCTAAGCAAACAACAGTATAAACACTGCATTAATTGCATGGGGTGTTTTGTTACCTCAAAATTTTTAAAGTACTCGTAATTCATAGTTGGCAACTTGTTTCTTTTGCTCTTTTCTACTACTCTCCTGGCTCAGTGAGGGTGTGGAGCATGCATTGTGGTGTAGTTGTAACTTAATTGTCATCAAAGGCAGATGCAAGGACACTATACATTTTTGGAAATCTGGATTGACTAACGCATGAGTACTGAACTGTTATGCAATGTCAGTCATTCTATATGGCAGTGAATGCTGGAGAATCTCATCAGAGGTGAAGAGATTTGAAGCAAAAGAAATGTGGTTTTACAGAAGGATGCTGAGAATACCATGAACTGAACATGTGAGGAAATAACAAAGTTTTAGAGAAAATGGAAACAAAAAGGACACTTTTAGCATCAGGAAGGGATAACTGAAATTCTACAGCACATAATATAGCATAGAAAATTTAATACAGGACATATTGAAGGCAATTGGGACAGAGAAAAGCAGAGCACAACCTATGTAACAAGCATGTGTAAATGGTTGGCAGAACAAGGTTTAAGAGAAAATACAAATTTTACTGAGAGCTAAAAAGAGCAGGAAATTTTGGACAGCCATAAGTGCCCACATCCTGAAGGGACACAGCACATAAAAAATTAAAGAATGAGACTATTGATGAAGTATTTTCTGATGTACAGATGAAGAATTATGAATTTTATGAAGTCCTTAAACACATAAGCCTTCAAGAAAAGAAATGAATAATGGATAATTTTCAGACAGCATTATACAAAGTACCAAAACAATCTGAGGAGAAAGCTGGAGTATTGAGCAAACTTGCTGTTACATAGTTCCAAACAGAAATGACCAGAGGCTATTAGTATGAAAATATATTCATACTAATATTGACAAAGATCTGGAAGGTAATTAAAAGATCTAAAGACTAAAATAATTGTACATATTATATTGGACCAATCAGAAAAATTATCATCTTTCAAAAACTATAATAAAAATTATAATAATGATTCGTAAACTTAAGGAATCAGCACATATGCAAGGTCACAAAAATCTCCTGAGCCGACCAAGCATAGAAATGAATACAATATAGGAACCAGTAATAAGAAGTGCCAGAGAAAAGTGATAACAACAACAAAAATTGCAATATGAGCTCTGGTAAAAACATAGAATGATAAAAGCAATAAATTGCAATATGAGCACTGTTAAAAAATGATTGCTGAGACATTAGGTTTATAATACCCAGGTGTCCTCAAGGACATATGGCACAGTGGATAAAGGCATTGGTTAGATCCAGTGACAGGACCCAAAGACTGTGAGTTCAATACCCGGTTAAGGCAGTGGAGAACTTTCAGAGGAGAATTAACAAGAGATAACTGATAACTGACATCCATTAGACATGACATGTGGAACTAGAACAGTCTACCCCAGTGAGCGAAATAAAGGGTTCAGAAGCCACCTGAAGAAGGCTAGAGTGTACAACATTGTAAAAAATATATATGGCAACAAAGATGAGGACAATAGTCTGAATAATGTAAATAGTGTACATAATAATACCTCATCTCAGAAATATAAACAGATACTGAATGATTCTAATAATAACAAATCTGATGAAATGCAATAAAAAGTCATTGTATTATTTATAGTGGTCAAGTAAATTAATAATGAAAGTGTAAATTATAAAACTCAATTAGTATAATTACTGATAACAATTTAAAAGAAAAAATTAAAAGAATTAAAAAAATTAGAAGAAAATAACCAGTCATAATAATTCTTATGTGGGTTTGCTCCAATCGAGTACTTTTATTAACATCCCAGATGAACTGTGTTCTTTTGTGTGGCATGTCTGTTCAGGACGTAGAAGACCATGTCTACAACAGTTGGTATCCTCCGTAGCTGTAAGCAATATTTTTCTTTTTACTATCACTCCCAATCCTGTTCTGACATCCGTTTACACAAACATGTTACTGCTTTTCTCTGTGACTCTTCCCTTCAATATGACCTATGAGTGTCAAATTTTCCCAACCTTCTTTTCTTATAATGTGTCTCAGGAATTTCAACTATCTTTCTTCTTTTATGCATAATTTTCCTTTTTGTTTCCATTTTCCTTAAACTTCCTCATTGCTTACATGGTCTGTTTTTGATATGCTCCACATTCCTCTGTAGAACCACATCTCTATTAGCTCAACTTATTTTCTTATTTGTGGGGAAATTATCTAGCATTCTATGTAAGATAGGATGACTAATATTACATAGCAGTTCAGCACTCTTTTCCTTGTTCCTAACAAATTTTTCTTGTTTCTTAATACTTATCTTACGTTTTGGGAGGTATCATTTGTTACTCCAATATGTCTTCAGATTTAAGTGTTATATTGTCAGTTTTCTATTAAAATACTTACTAGATAGTTAAATTTCCATACTTGCATGATTTTGACATCTACATCTGTTACTCTTGATGACAACCATACCTTCTGTCTTTTTATAACTGATGCTTAGTCTTTTCAGCTTGCCTTCTTTTACTAATTTGTCAGAGTTCCAGCAGTTTTCTGTGTGTTGGGGAGTAAATAACCACAACCACCTGTAACACAAATGAACTAGGCAAGACGCCTTAAATAAAGAACTCCAAGTGAGTCATGGTAATCCATTGGAGAATTTCTAATGAATGACATGGTGAGTAGCCTAAGTGAGACACAATAATATAACAACTAGGAATGAGTTATAAAAGTCTGCAATCAACACAGTGTCATCTGTGTATTGTATAATGTTAAGTTTGTGCCCATTGATAATAAATCCTGGTAGGATCTCCAGTTTTCTTGGTATAACCTCATTGTTAAGATTAAATAAATCTATTGAGATGACACAACCTTGTTTTTATGACCCTTTCTTGCAATTCTTATATTATATGTATTGGTATAAACCTATTCTGGTCAATAAAAATATATACATTATAATACACATAATGGACACAAACACACATTATATACAATAGATATATAAGCACGCATATATAAACATACCTAATAAACGTAAAACACACATAAATCAATAACAAAATTGTGTTTCACAAAAAGAAACAAAATAAAAAACAGTCAATCCATGTATTTTTGTAAAATAATATTTTTAAGGCAAGCAATCTTTGTAATTACAGTGCTTGATATAAACAAATTAATAGTAATAAATAATTTTGTACTATTCATCTCCTGAAGAGTGGATGAAATCTCTGCAAAAATCACAGTAGAGACAAGTGAACACTTAATTTTATTTTTAATTACATATATATATATATATATATATATATATATATATACACACACACACACACACACACACACACACACACATAAATATACAAACAAACAGACATAAAAATATGCTGTACATGTAGAATAGATATTTGAATAAAGGCACAAATAACAAAATCAATTTTTAATTCATTTCTTGAATTAAAAAAAATAAATTCATTTCATATTAAAAATAAGAAGAGAGAGAAAAGAATTACATACTCCATTTTTGTTTTTATCATCACTGAGAGAGAGAAAAGAATTACATACTCCATTTTTGTTTTTTATCATCACTGAGAGAGAGAAAAGAATTACATACTCCATTTTTGTTTTTATCATCACTGAGAGAGAGAAAAGAATTACATACTCCATTTTTGTTTTTATCATCACTGAGAGAGAAAAGAATTACATACTCCATTTTTGTTTTTATCATCACTGAGAGAGAAAGAAAAGAATTCCATTTTTGTTTTTACATCCATTTTTTGTTTTTATCATCACTGAGAGAGAGAAAAGAATTACATACTCCATTTTTGTTTTTATCATCACTGAGAGAGAGAAAAGAATTACATACTCCATTTTTGTTTTTATCATCACTGAGAGAGAGAAAAGAATTACATACTCCATTTTTGTTTTTATCATCACTGAGAGAGAGAAAAGAATTACATACTCCATTTTTGTTTTTATCATCACTGAGAGAGAGAAAAGAATTACATACTCCATTTTTGTTTTTATCATCACTGACATTTAAAACTGAACAACTCAAAAGTTGGTCAATGTCCTGAAAGGAAGTTTCAAATTCTACAGGTGTTTTGGTTTAAGATGAGTGATTGAATGAAGTGAAAGCCAACAAAAAAAAAAAAAAAAAAAAATTTCCATTCCTCATCAAAAAGTCATTGGCCACAGTCAGATTTGTCATATTTCAAATTTTCATATCCAATATACAGTTAGGAATTTACATACTTTAGCCCCTGTTCCAGACTAAGTGTAGCTGAGAAAATATCTCACTCTCACCTTGTAGTTCATGATTCTCTCACAATTTTTATTTTCTGCCAAACAGCAAATGATTTATTAAATTTCAAATTTGCTTTTCTGAAGAGACCATCATTTAAATAAAAAAAAAAAAAAAAACACATTTACATTTGTAGAAACTGATATTTAATTAAATCTATCTCTTCTTTAACTGAACATTCTCACTGATCTTCAACTCATTTTTAAGGCAAAAGAATGAATTTGCTAACATTTCCATAAAACCAAAATCAATCTAAGTATTTATGATATTGAAAATAGTTTTAACAACCTTGGTACATTTTTATAATAAATGATTTGTATTGCAAACAATGAAATTAATTACAGTGATGAAGAGAAGATTATAATAATAATAGTAGTAATATGTTGATGACAATAATCACAAAGAATAATGCAAGAACATTTGTAATGAAGATTGTTAATGAAGATAATGAAAATGGTAATGATGATGATGAAAATGATACAAGAATGACTGAAATGATGATGATGATGATTTATGAAGAATAATAACTATAGTGGTGGTGATGAAAAAATAATGATTGTTTAAGATGATAATGATGGTACAAGAATGATGATGAAAACGATACTAGAATGATTTAAATGATGATGATTTATAAAGAATAATTAAATTGTTGATGATGAAAATGAGAATACAAGAATGATTTAGATGATGGGGATATGTAAAGAATAATGAATCATTTAAAATAAAGAATAATGAATCATTTAGATGATAATGATGTATAAAGAATAATGAATTGTTCAGATGATAATGATTTATAAAGAATAAGGAATGGTTTATGAAGCATTCAGATGATGAAGATTTATAAAGAATAATGAAGCATTCAGATGATGATGATGATTTACAAAAAATAAGGAATCGTTTAAATGATGATGATGAAGATTTATGAAGAATAATTAAATCTTGATGATGATAAAACAAAAATACATGAATAACTGAGATGATGATTTATGAGGAATAATTAAAATGGTGATGATGAAATTAATAAGGACGATTAAGATGATGTTTGTTAATAATGTTAGTAATGATGATGACTACTTAGATTTATATAATACAAAATCTATCAGTAGATCTCTGTCTAAATGTTGATTTACATACATTTATTGAAATAAAAATCTGAAAATATGTCAATAGTAGGAAAAACCTAGAAAATCTCAGATTTATATTTAATACATTTTTCCGCAAGAAAACTTAGACATATGCTCTGGAATCTATCTTTGTTGCACATTTAAAAACACCATGCCAGTTGTGTTGATGAAGCAAATGAAGGAAGAAGGTTTCCACATGTGCACTTATATAAGTGTAGTTGTTAATGCGTGTTGAAAGTTATTCTCCTGTAGCTGCAGTAAAGCACAACACTGACAACAGCTTCCAAATACATTTAAGACAAAGTATTAACTTAGAAAATATATAGGGATACAGAATTTAACTAAATCTTTTCTGGCCTGTCTTTCAGTTAGACAGAGCACAAAATTGATGATGATATGCCTAGTCTCTAGAGATTCCAACTCAAATGCTGCCCCGCCCCATTGCACTAAAAGGGAGGGTTGTGGACCACCTTGTGCAAGAATTCAACTGGGTAATTCTTCCTTCCTCCCTCCCACACATACATTCTGTGGCATATTTTTCCTAGTTGTGGAGTTAGATATCTAAAAAATTGAAATCAAATTTACTTCAGGAAAATTGTAGCTACTTATTCATGTTAACATATTTTACAAAAAATCGATGGCTAATTTTCTTTTAAACTGTATATTTTAAAGTTTTGATATTCAAGCACTTCTATAGGAATATTATTCACGGAGAAATTTTATCACTGTTAAAATAAGTAAAAACTCTTGAAAGTGGGAAATAAGACTTCATCACAAACATAAGACTTATTATCTGATTTATATAAGGGTTACTGAAAAGATCTTGGCTTGATTAAGAATCCCTTAAAAAAAAATCTTACAGTTTCAGATTATGGAAAGTAGATTAAGTTAGGAACTGTAGTTTTAGTATAGTTAAATTCCCAGATCAATTCTGTGGACAAGACAGATTGGTATAAAATGACAACTGAAAAAAATTTAGATTTGGCCGACGTGTTTCATCTTCTGACTTTTTCAAGACAAAAATGTATCGAAAAAAAAAGAAATCCCTTACTATAAAAGTAATTTACATTAACCAGAAAAAAAAGCTTAGACAGAAGCATCTATCTTTTTAAATTTGGATTTTTTAATGTAATTATAACAACAAAAACATTTCGATTTTTTGTCTTGAAAAAGTCAGAAGACAAAACACGTCGGCAAAATGTAAGATTTTTTCCAGTTGTCATTTTATACCAATCTGTCTTGTCCACAGAATTGATCTGGGAATTTAACTATATTGTTGACATGGAAAAAAAAAATTCCTTACTATAAAGGTAATTTACATTAACCAGAAAAAAAGGCTTAGACAGAAGTATCTATCTTTTTAAATTTGGATTTTTTAATGTAACTATGACAACAAAAACATTTCGATTTCATTTTGGCCTTGAAAAAGTCGGAAGACGAAATGCGTCGGCAAAATTTAAGATTTTTTCCAATTGTCATTTTATACCAAGTGCAATTTTCTATTTTTGAGAAAATAATTTTACTGGGAAGTCTATGTTAATCCTAATAAGCACAGTTCTTTTATATATTATTAATCCAAAGATTAAAAAAAATGATACAGATGCATTGAAAACAAAATTTCTGATTAAAAACCTGAACTTGAAAAGCTTTTAATTGAATTTTTAGATTTTGCTTATAGACAAAAGTTCATTAAAAAAGATTAATGATAATGATAATAAAATAAAAGAAAGTATGACAAATTTTAATTTCTCCAAATATGACAAATTTCTTCAATTTTCCCAAGAATAACAAACAGTGAAGGTGAATCATTCTGAAAATTCTTCTGATGAGTATCATCATATTTGTTGCTTTATCCCAAAACTTCAGGTGATGTCAGGTAAAGTTGAATTTTTTTTTCTCTTTGTGCTAATAAATTTGTGTTAATAAATGGCTTTAATATCCAGAATTGAACTAGGCATATTGGGGACCAAGTCACACACATACGCTATATATATAAAAGTGAACATTGAAGTCAACACTTAGAGGCGACAGTCTGTTTCAAGCTAGACACAATCATCAGGCCTGATGATTGTGTCTAGCATGAAACATCCTGTTGCCTCTAAATGTTTTCAATGTTCACTTTTATATTTACACACGCTCTATCTCTTATATTGAGCACTTTATCTTATAAATATAGCACACCTTAAGAGTATGTATATATATATATATATATATATATATATATATATATATATACACACACACTCAAAAGTGACAACATTTAAACCACTACTCGATTGTTCTGGCTGCCTGACAATCACAGCAGCATGAAACTCAATTTGTGGTCTAAAATTTGTCTGTTTTTTTTTCAGTAGTCTTGCTTGGTAGCATATCAGCTATATTTTTTTCTTCTCAGTTTGCATTTTCTTTTCCAGTTTTGATTTATTGGTTTTTTTTTTTTTTTATTTTATTTGGTCACTTGGCAGGACTGTACTGTTTTTTTTCTAGATTGTTGTGTTTATTTATATATATATATATATATATATATATAGAGAGAGAGAGAGAGAGAGAGAGAGAGAGAGAATGGACATTGAGATCAGTACAGCATGGCAACTATCAGTTTCATACTTGGATATGATTTTCACACAATATATGAAACACTATTAATACAACAAATTTGAGCAAGCTCACTTCTATAAATCCAGCAAATAGGAACAAGCACTCTTCTATAAATACAGCAAATTTGAACAAGCCCTCTTCTATAAATACAGCAAATTTGAACAAGCCCTCTTCTATAAATACAGCAAATAGGAACAAGCACTCTTCTATAAATACAGCAAATAGGAACAAGCACTCTTCTATCAATACAGCAAATTTGAACAAGCCCTCTTCTATAAATACAGCAAATAGGAACAAGCACTCTTCTATCAATACAGCAAATTTGAACAAGCACTCTTCTATCAATACAGCAAATTTGAACAAGCCCTCTTCTATAAATACAGCAAATAGGAACAAGCACTCTTCTATCAATACAGCAAATTTGAACAAGCACTCTTCTATCAATACAGCAAATTTGAACAAGCCCTCTTCTATAAATACAGCAAATAGGAACAAGCACTCTTCTATAAATACAGCAAATAGGAACAAGCACTCTTCTATCAATACAGCAAATTTGAACAAGCCCTCTTCTATAAATACAGCAAATAGGAACAAGCACTCTTCTATCAATACAGCAAATTTGAACAAGCCCTCTTCTATCAATACAGCAAATTTGAACAAGCCCTCTTCTATAAATACAGCAAATAGGAACAAGCACTCTTCTATAAATACAGCAAATTTGAACAAGCCCTCTTCTATAAATACAGCAAATAGGAACAAGCACTCTTCTATCAATACAGCAAATTTGAACAAGCCCTCTTCTATAAATACAGCAAATAGGAACAAGCACTCTTCTATCAATACAGTAAATTTGAACAAGCAATCTTCTATCAATACAGCAAATTTGAACAAGCCCTCTTCTATAAATACAGCAAATAGGAACAAGCACTCTTCTATAAATACAGCAAATAGGAACAAGCACTCTTCTATAAATACAGCAAATTTGTACAAGCCCTCTTCTATAAATACAGCAAATAGGAACAAGCACTTTTCTATTACATCAATTTG